CTCACCTAGCCTACTTGGGCTGGTCAACCATTGCTCCCAATCCGTCCAGTCCTGCTGGTCTAAGGGTTGATCCCACTCTGCTTTTTTCGACAGAGCTGTTGAAGAAGGACCTCCCCCGGCAACAACCACGGCGCGACAAACCCGAATGGGGCATATAAGCTGGACACCGATGATAGCAACTCTCGTCGTGTGGGATTCCTCTCGGGTAGCTTTAGTTGAAAGATGAACTCGTCTGACTCCGCGCTCCATCGGATCCCCAAGGTCAGCTCGATAGTGAGTGGCTGTGTGGTCAGGTTGAGAGCCNTGTCAGTTTCGGGAACGTTGTCTAAAACTAAACGTGAGTTAGACAACTATTTGGTTAAACGGAACCCCCTTTCTCCAATAGATACTTTGGCTGCATAAAGTGTTGCGAGTCTTCTCTTTCATCGTCAAAGGCGCCCAGGAAGTCGACGACGTAGAAAATATTCGCAACGCTAGTTGACACCGAGGCCGGGAAGTTGTTTCCGCATTGCGAAGCTGTCCGCCGGAAAGCGAAGTTTGCGCAAAAGGGTGAGGAAACGGCTCCAAATGGATGAACGGTCAGTCTATAGTCTACCGCCGGGTTCTGCATGTCACCATCGGGCCACCATTGCGATCGCATGGCATCGTGCTGATACTCTGGTATCATGATTTGGAGGAACATCCCTTGTTTGTCGGCTGCCATTGCCACTGCCCCTATCCGGAATCGGTTGAGCACATCAATCAAGGAAGTGGTCCAGTCCGGTCCCTGCAACAGACAACCATTAAGGGAGAGACCACCCTCTTTCTGGTCGTTCAAGTCATATCATACATCCTTTGGAGAGCTTGTTCAATCGTATCGTTGTTGGCGGTGGTGGTAGTGAAGTTAACTGATAACCGTTTACGATTTGCCGCGTGAGACGATCCAAACAACGTCCACTCGAAAATGGTGCGAGCAGTATATGGTTCTTTCCTGCCGACCAGTCTCTGGTCAAGGACCCAGTGTGCTTCATCAAATCCTATTAGCAAATCGACTTCGGAAGAGTCGGCTTCTTCAAAACACAAGTCTCGCACGTGCGGCCAGCACGTTGCTAATTCCTTGATCGATTCCACTGCTCGCATCGGCAAGTCGGCGATGGTGAAAGCTTCCGTCACCTCTACTCGTTCACCATTATCTAGCGAAACCAACGTCACGTTTGCTTGATCGACGGACGTCGCCTTGGTGCCGTTCACCGTGCTGATCGTCAGGGAAGAAGGTCGGGTTGTGATGTGGTTCATGGCGAAGCGTTTGGTTATCAACGTGGTATCGGATCCGTTGTCAATGAACGCCATCGCCTTTACCACCCCCCTGGCTGGTAATATGCCCACTGATGTGACCCCGAGGCGTACCTGCTTGTCCGCCGATTGAGGCAGTATACATACACTGGGTTTTTGGATTGCCGATAACTGGATTTCTCTTACAGAATGCAAAAGAGAGTATGGTGGCTTCCTTGACACCCCGTTTCCTTGCATCTGCTACGTTTCCTACAAGCGGCCGCGCGATGTGAGCCGTTCAAACAGATAAAGTATGCCCCAAGCCTCTTGGCTGCTTCCCAATGGTCCGCAACGTCTAGTTGCACATATTTCTCGCATGCGGGTTACTCTTGGTTCAAATGACACACGGGACATCTGGGTGTGCCACGTTCCCCTACTGTCGCATAGTTATTCGCGTTCCTAGAACCTTTCGGGATCTCATAGGTTCGTTCTTTGGTGTGATGCCTCTCTTCTCGCTTACTCATACTGGCGAGTTGTCCGAAGCGACTGCTGGCGACTTTGGCACGGTTTCGGATGAATTCCGTTAGCTCAGTGAAGTTCGGTTCCCTTCCAAAACGGCCAATAATCACTGCCTCCTCCGCCCATGGCTGCTATATGTCAGCCGGCAGGCATCGTACTAGGGAGTGTAGTGCGTTCAAATCAACTTCGTAATTCCTTTGAGTCAGTGCAACGAAACGGATTTGCAGCCTCATTACTAGTTCCACTAGTTTCGGGCTGGTTGTGGTGAATTTAACTGATAAGGGGAAGGTCGACCAATACATGTTTCTTTGGCTTTTGCTTTCCGTGGTGTTTCCTTGAACTTTCTGCTTTCTCGGACTTCACGTCAAATTTCAAACCGCCAGCGCTGAAGGTCAAGATCCAGTTCCGTTGTTCCGTGGACGATTATATCGTCCAGATAAACTAATTATTGGTTTGGAATCAGACCCTGCAAGACCTGTTGAAATAATCGCTGGAACGTAGCCTGTGCATTCACTAGTTCGAACGGCATCGCCTAGAACTCGTAGATTCCGGACAGTGTTGAAAATCTGTTTTGGGGTGGTCTTCCTCATCTAAATCCACTTGCCAGTATTCAGACGTTAAGTCCAGAGTACTGAAGTATTTTGCCTTGACCAGTGCGTCGAAAAGATCATCGGCTCTTGGCGGTGGAAATGCATTCTTTTTGGTTACTTAATTCAATTGCTCATAGTCAACGCACAAACGGAAGCCTCCTTCTTTCTTTCTTACTAACATCATAGGAGCAGAACATGGGAAAGTGGAACGTTGGATGAAGTTACATTCCTCCATATGCCGAATGGTCTCGAAAATGCTGGTATGCGTCTAGGAGGAACCTTTATCGGTGGAGTGCTTCATGTATCTATTCGGCGTTTCACTAAGCTTATCTACCCCAACTGTGTCACTCAACATGAATGCGTCAGCAAACTGTTCGATCACACGCTGATGTTACTTGGCGCATTCGGGCTCCACTCCTAGAGCATCGTTCTTGATTAAATTACAGATTTTCTTTCTGACTGGAGGGGCAATACTTTGTGGTGAAACCACATGCTTAATGACATTGATACTTCCCATTGGAGCTGATCCCTATCTACTGGTCTGGGGTTGTGTGACAAAGCGACTCGCTGGCCCCTGATCGTAATCGAACATCTTGGATAATAAATTGAGGTCCGGTTAGCCATGACATTCCACGGAAAACCATCTGACGCAATTAGTGTTTGTGAAATTAGCATGTCATTCACGGTGGTAGAGTCGGTAACTGTACCCTTGGCTTGTGGGAGGCTGTTGTTGGCTGTAACTAGTTTGTCCAGTGTTTCACAAAATAATAACTCCAAGAGGATTTGCCTAATGTGGATTACTGAGCGAGCTGCCCAAGTGTTCATCAATGCTTGTAACCTTCTCCACTATAGCGTGATAGATAACATGCGGTACATTTTAAGCCAAGGCAGTTAAATGGACAAAGAGAAACGCTGATTTGGTTGTGCTCGCATGTGACGGTTCGTGTTCCAAAGCCCCGGCAGTACTCGCAGTTGCACTACTTGGAAGGACAATGCATTCTTAGGTATCCTTCGGGAAATCTTGGACTCCGTGTTTGCTGCGATCTGCGAAGCCCTCGGGTGCTTTCAAATCTGCCTCTGGGTGGGCGAATAGTGGCAAAATTCTCCAGCAGGCCAAATTGGTGTTCACGTAGCACATCTCCGAGCTGTTCAATTTCATGTCCCGTTTCCAGTTCGGTCTGCAATAACGGCAACGGGTGTCTTCGGAACATCTTGACGAGTTCCGGGTGTCGGACTCCGACGCAGACTGGTTCCAAAATTGTAGAGTCCATGCTTTCATCATCTAATTTCGGAAATGCACAATATCGCACGTGTCGGGTTGTTGGATCATCGTCTTGAATTTGTAACGGGCCGTCAATATGTCGGTATTATCGGTGAGATACTGTTGCACCGAGAGAAGGCATTCGTAGACATGGGGTCGCCCGCCCGGATCACTTCGCGGGCGATACCCTTCGGTTCGCCGTCCAACAGGGAGAGCAGGACGCGTCGTCGATCATTAACTGGAAACAATTCAATGTATTCCTGGACGTCTGCAGCCCAGCGCCGGAAAGCGTTCCCCCAGGCAAGCTTATTCGGTATGGGCAGACTCGGAGAGGGCGGAGCATGTCCGTTCCCGCCTCTGACTACGGAGGAGAGTAAGGAAAGAAAGCGAGACAGCAGGGTCCAGAGGGTTCCAAAACCCTTTGGGGGTTGTTCAGGTTCAAATTCTTCTGACGCGGTTTTCTTTGGCATGGTGGATCCTGGCAAGGTAGCCACTTTGTAGTATGTTTTGATCAGGGATAAGACTCGACGGACACGAAAGAAATTATATTGGTGCAAAACGTAGCATTTCTTTAAGAATATGAAACGTCTACAAAACGAAATGGTAATGTTACGTGTGGATGCTGTTCTGGTCTTTGTTCTCAGTGTCTTGTATCACTGTGCTGGGCGTCACGCAACTTGTACAGCCTGTAAAAAAAGGGGAAAGTGTGGTAAGGTCAGGTCAGGTTACACAGGACTGATAGTGGCCATAGGCCAATCACGCGTCCAGAATTCCTTCGGTGGTATGCCAGCGAGTGTGCGTCCACCTATGCAATTGATCAGTGTCTCCTTCTATCTGCAACAGAAAGAAAGAGAAACTTTACTTCTCGCCGCGTCGGCGAGAGACCTTTATTGTGAAGCGTTTCATATTTCACAAAACAATTTACATACCTAACATTCTATGNAAAACCTCCAACCATCTGGTGTCCAGAGCTCTTTTAAAAGCCTGGACGGTTGGCTGTCTAATCAGTTCCAATGGTAGCTTGTTCCAGTTATCCACTACCCTATTGACAAAGAAGTGTGCTCTTAAGTTCAGTCTTGAACGCCATTTCATGAGTTTGAGTTCATGTCCACGCGTTCCTTGGTGGGGTGCCTCAGTGAAGAAGGACCCAGGATCTGAACCCAGTAAATTTTTCTTGATCTTAAATACTTCGATGAGGTCTCCGCGCAACCTCCTATTTTCTAGTGAAAAAAGACCGGGGGCGTACAACCTCTCTTCGTATGTTTTTCATCGCATACCCTCAACCATCCGTGTTGCCAGTCTCTGGACCTTCTCCAGACAGGCTGCGTCCTTTTTGTAGAAGGGCGACCAAGCCTGAACAAACTATTCTAGGTGAGGCCTTACGATGGCATTGTAAATGGGAATAAATACATCTGCTTTTTACACGAAACTGCTGACCTTAGTCTAAACAGCTG